CCCACTGTTGCTGACAGCTGACGATCAGGAACCAGAGTCATTATAGCCACTAAATGGTGCTGAGGAGCACAGGAATTAAATACTTCTTTCCCATGCTCCTCAGCTCCATCTAGTGGCATTACTGCAGTATTTTCCCGATATTACATTTGACCCAAAAATGAAAATATACCAATAACATTAGTTTTTTTTTCCACATAATGAACATGCATGCACTTTCACAGACCAAATGCAATTTTTTTTATAAATACACCCCATAGAGTTATTACAAGATAACTGAATCATGCTGATGCAGTTGATTTTACTCTAGACATCAATGACCTCTGGTCATGAAAGGGTTAAAATGTGCACAAGGGCCAAATTGTGATGGCTAGATCAGAGAGGGGACTGGGTCAGAACAACTCATTTTCCTTTTTCTGGCTTTCTTTTCATTTATTTTCACCTGGTGATCTAGCCAGTAACATATCTCCTGTCTTAGGATGGCTCCACTCTATGAAGGAGCACTGGAGCCACCCTTGGACAGCAGCACTGTCAACCTGTGGAGAAGGAAGTTACAGCACAAGTTTTTTCACCAGGTAAAAATAAAGGGGAAATAAAAGCTGAAAAAAAATTCTAATGCAGCCACCAAGAACTGGTAAGCGGCAATATATTATATTTTTGTTTTGGGATTTAGGTCCTTTTCACATCAGATGCATTGGCATCTGTTTTTCAATGCATGATAATGCAAGGATATCTAAAAATGAATAAATGTGAATAGGAGCAGTTCACACCAGTGCATTGCATTCATGTGAGCTGCCCTGTGCTGAAAAAAAAAACTAGAGCAGACTATTTTTTTTTCAGTGCAACACCCTATACTTGATATAGCTGAGTGTGAAATTCAAACAAAAAAAACAACGTAACGCAGCGTATGTCAACATTCTATGCCAACACATGTGAACGCACTTGCGTTAAATCATGCCCAATGCACACATTTTGGTGTGATACACTGAGTTTGATGTAAAGATCTGTATAAATTCATCTGTCACTAAAAGTTAAAGGAGAACTATGGTGTCAGGGCTTTTCCCCATAGTTCTCCTAAGGGTAACGGGAGGACACAAACTAGCGTCCTCCTGTCACCCTAAGCTCAGTATAACGCGAGCTGTAGCTCGCGGTATACTGAGGCCCAGCAGCCGTGATGGATCCCAACATTACTGTCGAGATCCACCCAGCTGCGGGATTGACAGCTGGCTCTACCTATCTAGGAGGCAGAGCCGGCTGTGCCCGCCCCCTCCCCATCTGTTCCGCTAGTCAGCGCTGGAGGATAGGAGAGGGGAGGGGGGGAATCCCTGCCCAAGCCGTGAGTGACAGTCATGGCTCTCTGCAGTGATGGATTGAGAAGTGAGCGAGGGTTGGTATGTGTTGGCTCACATCCCAATCTATTGAGCCGACCTGTGACAGTTTCATTGTCACATTTCGGCTAGAACTATGAGGCTGAGTGATTTTCACTCGACTCATAATTCTCCTTTAATGATGCACCGATACCGATACCGAGCATTTGCATGAGTACTCGTACAAATGCGGCGATACCAAAACCCGATACCGTTGCTTTAATTATGTAAATGAAGCGACTGCCTTTGGTCCTGCACTTGCCTATAGTCTGAGTCCTATTGGGGGGATGGTATTATGCTGCATTAATGTATAATGTATTGCTGGGATTTGTAGTGCTCTATAGCTGATGGTATTATTCTGCATTGCTGTATAATGTATTGCTGGGATTTGTAGTGCTCTATAGCTGATGGTATTATGCTGCATTGCTGTATAATGTATTTCTGGGATTTGTAGCCCTCCATAGCTGGCGGTAATCTGCATTGCTGTATAATGTAGTGCTGGATTTGTAGTCCTCTATAGCTGATGGTATTATTCTGCATTGCTGTATAAGGTATTGCTGAGATTTGTAGTACCTCTACATCTGATGGCATTATTCTGCATTGTTGTATAATGTATTGCTACGATTTGTAGTCACAGCTGAAAATGGGTCCTGGTGCTTCACCACTGATTCCAGGGACTACAAATCAACCTGGACAGGAGGAAATGGGCCCTGGTGCCTGTCAACATTGCCAGTTCCCGGGCCCCCCTTGCTTCAGTCTGGGGCCCTCCATCCCTAACACTGTGCCCAGAGCACCTTATTTGCTTGAGCTTTCACAAGAAAAAAAAAATATATATATATATTTTTTTTTTCCAATAATAATGTCTTTTCAATTCTTCATAATTATAGATACGCTGTCCTAAAGCATTAGTATGTTTTGTTTTAGAAAAACTGTCACATGACACAAACAAAAGTATCAGTAATTGGTATCGGCGAGTACTTGAGAAGTATCGGTACTCATAATTGGTCTGGAAAAAATTATATCAGTGCAACCCTACCGAAATTGTGTATGTTGCACAACATCCGATTATATTGCTAAATGTTAATATACGGGGAAAGGTAAAAGGTGATAAAAGAGCACAAGTGTGTTTTAGCAATGTGTATTTTTCAAAAAAACATTTTTAAACAATTTTTTGTCAAAAAGTACACATGTGAGATACACTTTTGATGTTAAATATAAGGTTTAGATAATTCTTAGTATGAAAATGTTTTGGCAGTCTAAATAGGGATGCGGGTATAGTATGTGCAGTCTCCTTTTTTCCTCAAGTTGACAAATAACGTAGCTAACACAAGGCAATTAAGAAATTGCAGTTCACCTTGAAATTACCTTACTCTCCATGTTTTCCACTCTATTAGGGTAATTAAAGTGTATTACGTTTTTTCTACATACTGCATATTTCTACTTTTGTCATATGCAAGTGTGGAATTCGGAAACATCTTTCTAAATGTATTACATTGATTAGTTTTCTGTCAAACTGGGTTCATTAACAAAAGAGGGAACATTTAGAAATTGCCAATAATGAATCACTAATCAGTCAAGAACTCCATGTGATACTTCATTTTGCGACATCAGGGGCATCAGAATGCAGATTAGTGCTGAAAGTTAGAAGGTTTGCCCTACTAGGGTAGAACTTCCTTCACATGAAAGAATTAATCAGATAATGAAATAAACTGCACGTGGAGAAATGGCTATGCTATAGGTAGTTCTAGGGATGTTAAAATGTAAGCTCTGTTTATGTGATCTTCCTTACACATCAAACATTTTTCATGACTGCACAGAGAACATTAATATCTTGCTACCATCTTGGCCAGTGTACAGACAATTTAAGTCTCAAGCTCACAGTCACAGCTTAACCACCACATAGCTGGGAAGAGAGGGAGCTCTGTAGAATTACTACATTTTATGCAATAATGCTTCAGTTTTTAGAAGGGTAAAAAATGGATAGTTACAGCATTAGATTGCAGTCCCTATACAAATCAAGTATGATACACTATTTTAATGCATTGTCTTCAGTGTCGGCTAAAAAATAAACCAAAGAATCTGGTTTTCTGGAAGTAAATACCATGAACAGCTGTTAAAGTACCTAAATATAACCTTGAGACACCTTTACCTAAGTTTCTTGCAAAGGGACAGCAGCCAAAATGCAAATCCTACACATGACACTAAGGGGGAAATTTATCAAAAGCAATTGCGACAGTTTTAGCCTCTTATATCATTTTTTTAAAGTGCAAATCTGTCTTTAAGCAGTGCCCCTGATTTCACCACTTTTCCAACTGCACGTGTTTTGACCAGAGTTTGCACTACTTTTTCATCTGCACGTGTTTTGCACCTGTTTTCATCTGCACTTGTTCAGGGCCTGTATAAAACGGGAGCATCACCTAAAAAGCAATCACAACTTAAGAAGTCCCCATGACCACTTCTTCAAGAAGCGACAGTTAAGCTTTTTGCCTGAAGTTAGAAGTCTTCTGTCCTAGAGTCTATTAAACCTCGTTTATGAACAACATTACACTAGCATCATAAATCTGGTGCAAATATATTCCATGCAAGTTCAAACACTTGCAATTGCTATGATAAATTGCCCCCTAACTATAAATGTCTGTGCCCATCTTCTCAGTACACCACACTGTTTAACAGTGCAGCTAATGAAGGATCAGAATTAAAGAAGAACTCAGAAAAAAAATGTTATTAACCCTTGCAGTGGGGCTCCCTCGCACTGCAAGAGTTAGCTGCTCGTTTGTGTTCAGGTGCTAAAAAGAATATTGCAGTTGGAGAATGTCATCAATGTGCTCCTGCTCTTACAAGGTCCAATCGGCAGACTAGAAGTATGTTCTTGGCCTGGCTGTGCTACTGCTGCAATAGAGGACTGGTTTATGTGGTCTTGCAGTAGCGCTCGGGTCGCTAAACTGGCTGCACAAAATTACAAATCCTTTGGCAGGTAGCACACTATTCATAAATGTTTTTAAACCATTTGCCTCTAGCTAAGTTTTAATACTTTTCATAGCTGACAGCCCCTGACTCATCATCTATACAACACGAAGATTGCAAAAGCAATCTTCTGTGGCCATTCAAAAAGCTTGCTAGTACCATCTTAACATGTAACTATTTACTAACGTTTTAGCGCTGTGTTCATGGGATAATTGCTTCTAAATGTAACTGTGTAAAAAAAAAAAAAATCACTTTTCGCATAGGAGAACAAAAAAGGAATATATTGGCTTACAAGAACAATATCTCCTACTCGCTTCTCTCCAACAATTATTAGCATTATAAAGAAAAGGACTTGCAGAAATCAAATGCTGCTGAGCAGCAATAAAATAACTCAATTTAATAACAGAATCTACTGGCTCTGAAAGCCTGCAATCTTGCTTTCAGAAATGCTTTTAAAAGCAGAAAATAAAGATACAGAAAATGTTAAATTGCTTTTTTTTGCAAAGGAATTAGGTGTTTGGTCTTCCTTTGCCTTGGCATTTTGAAGTCTATTTTTCAAAGTGAGTACTCAACATTCTTTAATGTAGCGAATGTCAACTAGCACGCTATAAGCAAGGGGGAGGCATTAGGAAAAGGTCTATTTTCATCCATGAGCCCAGATTGGGATCTCACCGTTTCCTTGAGTATTTTTAAAGAGTTCTTCAGGCTGTCCGCAGTGTGCTGTCTTGCTGAATTAAGCAGGAGGTCTGTATGGCTTGATATAAGAGGTTGCAGGTGATTGATGTTACTTAAAATTTCTTTTGCCTTTGCCGTGTTTTCAGGTGAATAGTAAATACACTGGTACCCAGTACTGGAAAACAGAAATGCAAATTTCTTTTAGCATACTGCAGAGAAAAAAAATATTATCAGATACTTCAGCAACAAAAAAATAATAATCCTTATAAAGAAGATTGAATAAAGTTATTTCCTGTGCACAGGCATATGCCAGGATATTAATCTGTGAGAGGATTAAAGTCCAATCGTTTTTCCAAAGTAAAAGAGTCGGGGAACCACAAATGAAAGCAAACAGTACTGATTAGTTTATTTCCTATCTCAGCTTCTTAAAGAGAATGCAGAATTACACATTGATATGCAAGCACCATCTAAAATTTATAGCACTTATCTTGTTGATTGGAAGTGTCATGAAAGTGAATTGCAAACCTTTAATTTCAGCTCAGTTAAATGCTAACAATGTTGTTTTAAATAGTATTAAAATGGGATTCTTAAGTTAGAACCTGTGTTAGTTTTTCACTGTTGGGGAGATAAAGTAAAATCTCCCCAAATGGGGACACTTATAAGGGAAAGCAGAGGTTATATTCCTCGTTCCAAAACATAAGAAATGCTTTAACTTGAGGTCTACCTAAAAAAAAAATACAGTCCAAACATTAAGGGTCTGCCAATCTTATTGACCAGTAGTGTGTGTACTAAAAAGAACAAGAAGCATCAAATAAATCAAACAGCATCAAATAAATTAGTCCCAATGAGCTTATACATAGTAGCAGTATCAGGACAAATGGCAGATAGCAATGAAACCTCACTGTAGACATGTAACCCTCTAAAAATCAAATTTACTAGTACAGAGATGTTGAAGATAAGACATAAGTAAACCTAAATTCATCTGCATGTTTTCACTGGCAGGAATATAAAAATACTTTGAATATTTTCAAATTGTCTGAACCACGTTTATGGAAAAATACAAGTAGGACACATCCTTAAGTAGTAAATACACTGCCTGACCAAAAAAAAGGCACTCAATTTAGCTTTGATTGCGGCACGCAATTGTCATCATTTCGAGAAACTTATGCAAAGTCTCAACATTTATTTCTGTCCAGAGTTGCATTAATTTTTCACTAAGATCTTGTAGTGATGATAGGAGAGTCAGGCCACAGTGTTAGCCTTCTCCAGCAGATGCCAAAGATTTTCAATGGAGTTAAAGTCTGGACTCTGTGGTGTACAATGCATGTGTTAAAATGATGTCTCGTGCTCCCTGAACCACTCTTTCACAATTTGAGCCCGATGAATCCTGGCATTGTCATCTTGGAATATGCCCAATGTGCCATCAGGGGAGAAAAATACATTGATGGAAAAACCTGGTCATTCAGTAAATTCAGGTAGGCAGCTAACCACATTGTTTTGGGGACATAACGTTGCTGAACCTTTTCTTGACTAAGTATTCAATGGAAGGCTCTTACCTATTAGCTTAGCTAAATTCAGGTGGTGACCTCTTTTTGGCCAGGCATTGTATTATTTAAACAGTATGATTATTACAATACATTTTCTCTACATTGTACCTATTGTGCTAGGTGTCAATAAGGTCTCTTGCCACATCTAATGTTGGCTACACCTTCCTAGTGGCAGGACTACCTAAATTAACCTGCCACTTTACTTACATTGCTGCCAAAAATGCTACAGAAGCTCAATTACTATTGTGGAAGAAGCTGATTCAGGAAAGGAGGGAGGGATGGAGAAATGCTATAGGAGAATGCGAGCTGACTGCTAGGTTCTCTTGTCCAGAATGCCCCTTTTATTTATTACAGGTATTTATATAGCACCCACAATTCGCGCAGTGCTTTACATGCACATTCATATCAGTTCCTGCCCCCAAGGAACTTACAATCTAAGGTCCCCATCTCACATGCATTCATACAGGGACAATTTGGAAAGGAGTCCGGAGGAAACCCATGCAAGAACAGGGAGAACATGCAAACTCCTTACAGATAGTGATCTAGCTGGGATGAATATTTGTATTTACTATAGACCTTTATGAATTCACAAAGCCAATGTATTTGTATTGTTAAGGCCCAACTAGAATTTCATTTTAAATTAGCTGATTAAATTCCAGGTGCTTTAAAAATAGGTGTGCAAAGTCTTACAGATAGTTTTCTGTAACAACCTGAGTAGAAAAAAATTATTTCTGTAGATGTCTGAAATGCATTTACATCTCAAATGCAGGAATGAGAAATGAGTATTATTATCTGCTCTTCTGTCCATCATAGGGCCATATATGCTCTTTTCATAAAACGACCATATTGTTTATAGCAAGTGCTTTTGGTTTTAATGATGCCTGCAAAGTGCATACACTACAGATAACATTTCAGTAGAGCACTGGGAGACAAAAGCAAGCCTGGTATATAAAGCATCCTGTATCACTGTACACGGCTGAACTCTGCTATGCCCAGTGGAGTAATAACTGAATTGGCACTGTTTGTAAATCAGTCAGGGGTGGATCCAGAGTGTTGCTTACAGAACTGGCTGTGCCCCCTGTCTTAGGTGGGATGTGCAAGGCCTCAGGCGGGCTGTGTGGTGTCTCAGAGGGGCTGTAAGGAATGCAGAATACCACCAGCTATAAAGCACTACAAATCCCAGCAATACATTTTACAGCAAAGCAGCAGTGCTGAATACCACTGCCAACTATAGAGGCCTACAAATCCCAGCAATAAATTATACAGCAATGCAGAATGGCACTGGCTACAGAGGACTACAAATCTCAGCAATACATTATACAACACTGCAGAATAGTATCATCAGCTCTAGAGGATTACAAATCCCAGCAATACATTTGCAGAATGCAATGCAGAATAATATGAAGCTACATACTCTGTTGCTCCGGGTTTGCGGCCTGATGTCTCCAGGGTCTCACGTGGCCAGTGCGGGCTCTCAGGTGGCCAGTGCGGGCTCTCAGGTGGCCAGTGCATGCTCTCACCAGGTGTCCGGAGATTCTCACGGGTGGGTGAGGTTGCAGCAGAGGCGGCTCTCTATTTAAGCTCTCAAATGGCCAATGCAGGCTCTCAGGTGCTCAGTTCGGGAACTTAGGTGGTCAGTGGGGCTCTCGGGGGGTCAGTGCGGGCCAGAGGTGGTCGGTGCAGGTTCTCACTAGGGGTCCGGACAGTCTCCCAGGTGGGTGTGGGAGCAGCAGATGCGGCTCTCTAATTAGGTTACGCTCCTATTCTATAAAATCAATGGGGGATTGAAGCAAAGCAGTCAATAGGAGCTCAGAAAGAGCTCTTCTTGGCAGAGTGCTGGTACCAAACGACAACCCTCTGCTAGGATCTCTTCTTTTATACAGAACATTTTTTTACTTTACTGGTCATAACTTTGTAAAGAATTATGTGACAATATGCACACATGGTTATATGAGATGACTGTATTTCTACTGATAATATGAAACAAGCATGGCTAATGACGATAGAGGGAAAAGCCTTTTATTTTCTATGCTCACCTATAGGCATATGCCTACTGTACCTAATGGAAAAACCAGGCCTGCCTTCTGTAAATAGCCAAAATTGCCACATGACCTACTTAGGTCTGCTACACTTAAAACATGACCTCCAGTGCATTTTTGTAATTAGATCAAACAGATTGTACTAATGTCTGTGACGCACAGAGATTTATATTACAAAATAATTAATGTATACATGAATGATCACAGATTAAAATGCTGTAACTGCAGACTGGAATAAATACTATACTTTTGTGATGATTTAGATGCCTTTCTTTACCATTTTGCCTATGGGGCAGATGTCTGGAAACACCAGGACTTATGATCTAAATTCTTACAGCAGTAAGCCATTTCCAGCAGAGGATTACTGTATTAATGAAATATACCGAAAGCTGGCCATACACCTTACAACCATCGCACGACTTTCGTTGTGCGATGGTTGTAAAGTAATTAAAATCTCGTACAATCTTGGACAGGCAATTCGTACTTGCGATCATCGCAAACCCTCCTCGCTGAGGGGAGGGCTTCCGATGATTCCAATGCTGAGCGGGCAGTATGCTCTTGCAGTAGCATGCCACTAAGCCGCCGAAAATCGTACGATGTTCGGCAGTTTTCGAGCATGCTCGGAAGACAAAAGACGTGCGACCGTACAGTAGAGACGGTCGCACGCCTTCCATACACCTGCTGATCATCGTACTATCGCGGGATCACTCGCGATTATCGTACAATAATCGACAGGTATATGGGCACCTTAATACACATAGATGCTTCCCCTGCACTAAGGGCTGAATTGCTTACACAACTATAGGTGAAGTGCACCAACTGCCTTAAAGTTTCCTCCTGTCTAGTGCCTCCACCACCTCTGCATGCAATGACGTCACCGTATGTAGACTCTGCTCCAGAGTGGAGAAAAATTCGACTGGATATATATTAAAAAAACAACTCCTTTTTAGACCAGCTTATTGATTTAACTTTTACATTTGGGGAGTTCTATCCCATCAGGTTTATACCTGGTGTAGGTGAAAGAGTTTTATGTAATTGGAGGAGAAAAGAAGTTGGTTTTTGAAAGCACATCAATGCACTGCATTAAGGACTAACTCTGATCACTTCCTGATATTCACGCTGGGAGAAAAAGGACTGAAAATGGAAATGCACTGTTTTGCACTATTATTGTACTAAGGAATTGATGATGACTACAACGCATAGGCCTTGATTGATTGCTATATATACCCGCACAGATGTTTGTATGTTTGCACAATTTTGCTATTTTTTGTGCACAGATTTTTATGACATTTGCACACATTAGAAAGGGTTAATTGCGGATTGATTTACATATATGTTTTTATACTAAGCAATGTTTTTTATGAGATATATAGCATTTAGAACTTGACAGATGTTTTAACCTTTCTGACTCTATCCGAAACTAAAGAGCTAGTCCATAAAAGATGATTACTGTAGATTTTAATATAACTACTGGCCTCTGCACTCTGCATTGTTACTGATCTCTGTTCTCTGTGTCACACCACTGACCTGGCGGAGTTAAGGGCGGGGCACGGTAGGGGTCAGGTGGGGCGACTGGTGGCGAGTAACTC